GAAACCCTTATTTGATGTTTCTTTCTGCAATTTCGCTACTGTGTCGGTGATCAATTTTTTCTTTTTCTTTTTTTTTATTCTTTTTTTGGGAAAATTCCGAAAAAAATCCGAAAAATTCCGAAAATGAAGATTTCCGAAAATTTCCAATTTTCCGAAAATTCCAAAAAAATCGAAATCGGAATCACTTTTTGAATTTCGAAAAAATCGGAATCGGAATCGGAAGGCGTTTTGGACTTCCGAAAAAAATCGGAAATTTTCCGAAACACCCAAATCCGATCCGATCCGTCCGATTTCCACCCCTAGTCACGGCCCGCCGGTTTTGGCCCAACCCTTTGCCAGATTTCCTTGGGTTGGGAGGTTAAGAAGTCCAAAACTTAGCCCAAATAGAGTAAGCTCAAGTTGGCCCAAGTGTATATAGAGATTGGTAGAGATTCATGGGAGGATTCTAGAAAACTTTCTAAAAACCTCATTCTGTAGATATTTTGTAGGAATACTTTGGATTGTTCTAGTGAACAACTCCTAGCTGTTATATCAAATAGATATCCACCGTCCATTAAGAAGGTGTCCTAGTATAAATAGGAGTAGGGACTTCATTTGTAATCATCCAACAAGAATCCAACAAATCCAAGACATTCAAGCAATACAAGTACTTTCCTACAAACTCTCTTATCTTCTTAAGTTCTTTGTTCATTTTTCATCTATTAGCATTCGCAACACATTCGGCAGAGTCTGACTTAGGTATCGCGAGGGGCGAGAAGGGGCTAAGGTAGCACGGTTTGTTGTTAGGGAACAAGTTTGTGACACTAAGCCAGCTGTATAATCTTCTCGAGTTATGGGCTCGATTGGCTCGATAATACCCTGAAGTTTTGCCCCGAGGCCCTTCCCTTCTTGGTATCCCATCTTCTTCATCAATGTGTCATGAATGCCACATCGACTTTAAAGTTATTATTATATCATATCTCAATGGATTGATGTAATATTTTGAATTTATTTTATTAATAAAAAATTCTAATTTTTTGACTTTTTTTTATAGTTACTGGTGTTCTGGGGTGTAATTGTCATGAATGAGTAATTTTTATTTATTTGTGAAAAAATAAGAATACCTGAATTTGGAAGCCAAAATTAGTAAAAATGGGAAAAAAAAAATAAGAATACCTGAATTTGCTATAAGAATACCTGAATTTGCTATAATTTTTTTGTAAAAATTAGACATTTTTTTGTTGTTGTTATCATTACAATTACTTCTAGTACACCAAGGACTAAAAATAAGGGTAGGTAAAAAAAATTTAAATTTTAAATTAGGGCACTTTATAAATAAGTTTATTTATGGGGACTTATTCATAAAGGGGTCCAAACAAAAAACTATTTTACAAAAAAAGTCCACACATTGTCCAGAGGTTTGTAAAAGACTAAAATAGCCCATCACATTTGAATATGCTTCAATTTCATCATTCAATTTAATTTAACCTTAAATTGACCCCAAATTTCACAAATTATTCAATTTTGACCCAAAACACAATTTTGAGTACAATTTCGTCGGTCGCCGCCGTTGACGGCCGGTTGACCGCAGGTCTCCGACGTTGCCTTTTTGTTTTCCTGATTTTCCGCGGATTTCCACACTTTTTCGATTCTTTTTTTTTTTTTTTCTTTCACATCTTTTTGCCCCCTTTTAAACAACAATATTGTTGTGCTCGACAGTATTATTAACTGTATTACTGTTAAACACAGTAATATTAACCATATTATAGTTTAACACAATAATATTAACACAACAAAAGTCATTATTATTTTGTAATAGAGTAATATTAATATGTTGACCGTTCAACAAAGGTAAACATAATAAGAAGCCAAAATAAATAATATTGATGTGACATGACACTAATGTTATTGTAACACCAGTATTAGTACCGTCAACCACAGTAATAGTAGAAAATAATATTATTACGTTACTCGGCCAACAACTCAAACAAAACAAAAGACCTCAAAAAAAAATTAATATTAATATGGATGACAGTAATATTATTGTGTTTACAGTTATTTTATTGTCAACTACAATAATATAATTACGTTAACTTGTCAACAAAACAAACAAACAAATAATAATAATAATAATAATAATAATAATAATAATAATAATAATAATAATAATAATAATAATAATAATAATAATAATAATAATAATAATAATAATAATAATAATAATAATAATAATAATAATAATAATAATAATAATAATAATAATAATAATAATAATAATAATAATAATAATAATAATAATAATAATAATAATAATAATAATAATAATAATAATAATAATAATAATAATAATAATAATAATATAATAATAATAATAATAATAATAATAATAATAATAATAATAATAATAATAATAATAATAATAATAATAA